TAATAATAATAATAATAATAATAATAATAACAATAATAATAATAACACTAAACTAACAAGGGAATCCTAACGTTGTTTCTGCTCTCACAGACCTTCAAGTACGACCGCTTCATGAACAACCCCGACTTCTACAAGGACGGGAAGAAGCTCCGCCAGAGCACCTTCGGCTTCGGTACCCTGTGCCCCGCCCAGAAGATGAGCATGCTGCAGCTCAAGTGGTTCACCATGGTGATGGTCAACAACTTCAAGATGGAACTGGTCGACGGGGACACCGCTGAGCTGGACGTGACCAAATATGGCAACGAGGTCATCCCGCCTACCAATGACGTGAGGATCAGGATGAAGCCCAAGGAGGGAGCTGTCAGACTGGAGAACATCAACGCTCGCGTGCTCGCGGCTTAAGCCACACACACACACACACACACACACACACACACACACACACACACACACACGACGGACCACACTGCGCTTAGATTGGCTGACGTCAATCAGTGTGCCCTTGATGAGAATCTCGCGATATGGAAATTGATACAGAATCGTCTGACAAACCTAACCACTTTTCTATACTAAGATTTACATTGAGAACCTATAGCTAAGCCTATTTCTTGATGAATACCAATGTGAATTTGTGCTCAATAAAAAAAGCATGGACACTTTTTTAAAATTAAAATTTACTTTGAGAACCAGTGGCTACTTTTTTATGAATGCTGATGTAAATTTGTGTACCAGAAAAAAAGCCTGGCCACTTTTCTTCTTTTAAATTTACTTTGAGAACCAGTGGCTTCTACTTCTTGATGGATGTCAATGAACATTTGTGTCCCAGAAAATCGTTGACCTTGGACGATTTGCAATACGAGCACATGTAAAAGTATCATGGATCCGCTGCTGTATGAACTAACGACACAAAAAAAGAAATCATCCAGTTGAGAAGAGGGTCACAGAATCTCAAATATAGATTTGGCTTTATTCGGCAGCCATTTACAGAGCACCTATATTGTTTTCACATTCGATACCTTCGCTATTTTTCGATTATAGAACCCTCTGCCGTCGAAACTTGACCAGTTGCCTGAAATCGGTTGGTAGATTCCAGTAAAAAAAACAAAGCAAGATGGAAGTTATACCGTAGTATAAATTGAAAAGCAGAAAGAGGTAACGGTTTGCCAGTTCGAATTCTGAACTTTAGAAAACCTATCGCTTGTTTACCTGAAAAGGTAAACTCGTTCTTCACTCTATCTATTCTCTTCCTTATTTGTTGTTGCTCTATCTGTCTCTTTTCTTCTGTTACACAAGGCTGCAAGAACAAGGCAAATTTTGTTGGAAATCAAATCAGTCGACTGTTGTGACCTGATTTAGGAGCAGAACAATTGAATGGTGAGGCAGCCGTTAATGGGGGGGGGGGGGTATTGGGATCACAGGGTTTCTGACACTGAGGTAGAACTTTCGTTTATTTATGTTATAGGCTGTCACTAACCCAGTCCTTATACGTTACGAAAAATATACTGAATTACTTTTGTTACTTTTTGTTTGTTCGATTGCTTTCTTGTGCCTCATATCTATAACGTTTCTGTCTATATCGCTATGGCTGCTGGATCGGATTACCAGTTCTCCTAATTTCTGTGTGATGTCTGTAGCCTACAGCATTCATACAACGAAAATGCCACTGCTTCACGGTAACAGAATACTATACAGAATAAACTTGTGTTGTATCAAAATGTTATCGTTATTTCTCTTTCTTTTGCCTGCACCAACTCACCATAATCACTTAAGAATTTATCTCTTTAAAAAGTATTTTTTTTAAATAATAAAAACTCCCTCTACGTTTTGGGCACATCCTCAGCTAAACTAAAATCCTACTGGACTATACACAGCTGATGGTCGTGGTTCGAGTCCTGTGCCGGATGTTCTGAGCTTCAGTAGTTTTGAAGAGTTTTTAAGGCTTTACCCGTTTATTTGGTTCGGTTCTTCTGGAGATGGACAGTAAATTAGGAGGTCCGTTTGTTGCATACTGTCCAATATTTTGGACATTAAATGAGGTCGCCCGAGTAAAAACAGAACACTGACACAGAGCTTAGTTTTGTTTCATGGGATTCTACAGTACTCAGTAGCACTTTTTTTTCCCCAACCAAGGACCGAGTTTGTGTTAAAATAGGCAATAGACCTCCACAAAGTTAGTTTTAGTAAGGTTTTACGGCGCTCGCAACTGCATGAGGTCATAATATGAGCGCAAAGGGGTGAATGTCAACAGAGAAGTCCAAACGGGGAATCAGGCTTACTCTGCTCACCTCTCCAGCCTCAACAGCACAAAGGCTGCTTCGACTATCAAGACACCCCGGAAATAGCCGGTCACAAGAGAGTGAGAAACATACAAAAGAAGTAGAGGAAAAATGACGATAGTAAGGATGAGGAAAGAAAAAGAAGCAGTTCCTCCTATACTGTTCCGGCACAGTATGAGTATGACGTTGATAAATCAGCCCATTTACAATTCTGCTGTGCATAAGAACATCCCCCTTTGGGAATGGCCTAAAGACACTTCAGTCAATAGCACTTCCCTGGTGAGGAGGTGGGGGGGTGGGAGAGATACCTAAACAATGAACAATGAACCTTATGTTTCGGGGTGACAACTGGCGTCTGTGGCGTAGCAGTAAGACACTTCGCTGTCACTCGCAGGAGATGAGAGTTCAATTCCGTGTGTGTGTGTGTGGGGGGGGGGGGGGGGGG